AAACGATTCTTTTCTCATTCGCGAAATATAAATTTTCAATCGTCATAATGGAATTTGGTTTTTCGTTACTTTTTTTTCACTAGAAACGATCATCGTTTTCCTATCAAAAATTATTACTTATTGTTTGTAATAGGAATTATTAAAACAAGAGAAAAAAAAAAAAACAACAAGCAAAAAACAAAACAAAACAAAGCAAAAAAACATTGGACCCAGAATTTTTTTTTACTGTTTTCCATTTTTTCCAAAGAATTCTTATTCTGGAACACTCGCATACATTTTTACATTTTCTCACTAGCACCAAAAAAAAAAAAACTACTGCCAAACTAAATGAAGAAAACAAAAAAAAAAAAAAAAAAATACAAAAATGAAATGACACGACAACAAGAAAAACGAGAAATCATTTTATTGTTGTTGTTTTTGTTTGTCTTTTTCACGAACAATGATGAAATGTTCCAGAAAACAACAAATTTCCATCTATTTAACACACACACACACACAGACCCTTATTCAACGCAGCAAATAAAAACAAAAAAAATCTCATAATGGTACCTGTCACCAAAGTGTGTGTGTTGTGTTTGTGAATGTGAATGATGAAAAAATAAAATAAAATAAAAGAAAAACAAATGAAATGAGGAATTGGAATTTACATAAAGTGAAAATTCTATTTTTTCTCGATCTCGCTCGTTTTCTTTCACACTGGTTCCAGAAACAAAATAAAACAAAAAAAACCGAAAAGTGTCAATCAATTCATGTGCATACGATGTGTTGCATCGATGGTTGGACTACAAAACAAATGGATAGCGTGACAAGAATATTTGAAAAATTCATCTCTAGATGTTCAAAAACGGAAAAGAATTATCTGAATTATCAAACAACAAACAAAACAAAAACAAAAAAAAACTACGGTTGCTGTTGTTGTTCAATCATTATCATCATCATCATTCGTGGACAAGGTCGAATTAATCATTCGATTTCATTGATTGATTGATTGACATATTATTCGAAGGGGCAAAAATCAACGATCATCCTCATCATCTTCTACATTCAGCTCTAAACTGATTCTAAAGAATATTTCCAATGCTTTTATCCATCGATGACACATTATGATTGCCATTAATTTTTTTTTTACTTTTCTCGTTTCACCATATTTCACTTTTTATATTTATTTCAAACCGGAACACACATACTAAAGAAAATTCAACAGAAAAAATGACAAAAATCAATCACACACACACACACACACACAAAATGGTGACAAAACTATTATTATTTTTACCATCACACCACCACTAATATTTATTGAAATTCAATTGTGTGATCATTATCCAAAAATTATGTGACAAGAATTTTGCTTCATCAGGTAGTAATCATCAAGCAAAACACATAAAATTTGACATTTCTGACATTTTCTCTCTCTCTCTTTGGGATGTGTGTTTTGTGTCAATATTTTTTTTATCGATTATAAAACACATGAGAAATAAGACGGTAAAAAAGGAAAAAAAATAATTTTACACCAATCAATCGATTTCATTCGATAATCAATGATTTTCTTCTCGTCTTCCTTTTTCGTCACCGTCATTCTGAACAATTGTTAATAATTCTTTTTTTTCTTCTTCTTCTTCTTCATCGGTTATAATATGCAGTAGTTTTTTTTCAGTGCAAAAAGTCATCATTTTTTTTTGATCGTGATGATCATCATCTTTCTTTATGGAGGAGAAAAAAAACTACCGGATTCTCACGCCGTATATGCTTTAAATTCATATAATAATAATAATAATAATAATAACAATGTCAGAATCATTAGGACCACGATGATGATGAAACCTGATGCGTGTGAAATTTTTTTCTTATTTCTTACTCACTCTCTCTCTAAAGCAAATTTGAAAACATGATCGTTTCCCAATGGAAAAAATGATGATGACGATGATGATGAAGAGGATGATAAAAAATTATTTTTCTGGCCATATTTAATTTAGATTCAATCAGATTTTTTTTTCGTTTTTGATGAGAATTATATATATATATAATGATGATGAAATCCGATCATCATCAAACGATCGATCGTATGCTAGTGGTGGTGGTGGTAATGGTGGTGATAATGATTGAAAATTGATAAAAAAAAAAATAATAATCAAAGAAAATCGTAACAAGAGAAAGGAACCACACACAAGTACAAATTTTTTTCTCTGTTTGGTAATTTGAGCCGGTCATACAAACAACAACAACAACAAAAATAACCGAGCGGCTGATTGAAAAATAAGTACAAATAACAGTTAATAATTGTGTATGTGTGTAATTGAATCAATCAATAATTTTTTTCTTTTTGATTAGATTTTCTTGTTTGTCTCTGCAGAGTGAAGAGGAAAGAAAGAAATTTTTTTTCCCGTTATATTTCAAATCAGATTTGTCATCGGATCATCATTAATATCGGATATTATATGAATTTAATAGCTAAATAATGATTTACAGCCTAGCTGGAAGCAAATTCGTAATGATAAATCATTGCTTTCCCATGGACAAACAAGGATTTTTTTTTCATCTTTGAAAATGATCAATTGAACCAATTTTTTTTCGGTTTGACTAATTTCTTAATTATGCCAAACAACAACGAAACAGAACAAAACACAATCATTATCATTGATGATCAATGAAAATGTTTAAATTTTAAACAAGAAAAATATTTGAAAATGGTTATTTAATGATTATATTCAAAACGAGAAAAAAAATACACTCAATTTTCGAAGAAAATATTATTAATTGATTTGAATGAAAATGAAATACAGAAATTTTTTTTTCTTTTGCCTCATTCATAATGGACGATTTTTAATGATTTTCATTGTAATTTCAATGTCATCATCATCATCATCAACGATTAGCTGGGATTTTTTTTCAGCCAAGAATGGCTATTATTAAATTATTATAAAACTTTGCTTTTTTTTCTTTCTTCTGGCCAATTGATCTTCATCATCATCTGCATGTTGCAAATGATCATGATGATGATCAAAACCAGAATGAAACAACTCATCATCATCATCAAATCAGTAGTCATTATTTCTTTTTGTATAAAAGAAATTGAAATCATCATCAAATCGAATGATGGAAAAATTATGTTGAATCAACATGGATAGAATGGTCGAAAATTTTTTTGCATCACCCAACAATAATACATCAACAACAGATGTTTTGTTTCATTTTCAAAAAAATTTTTTTCTTCATCACTAATTTCTTTGAATTGAATAATTTTTTTTTTGTTCTTGATTGAACAAATTGGATAATTGATCATTCAATTTAATTTAATATCATTATCATCATCATCATCGTCATCGTCAAAAGCGGCAATTTTATTTAATTCAAAAAATGGAAAAAAATTGATGATTATGATAATAATAGACCATCGCTTCGAAGAAAAAATACCATATCGGGTCATCATCCATACCATAATTACCAAACAAACAATTTTCATGTATGTCACTGGCCCTTGATCAAATCTGCTGCTGCTGCCAAAAATAACATGAACGAATTAATCCAAAACAAAGTGGATCACAAAGACATCTAAAAAAATTTTATTTCAAAAACGTGCCCGCCAAAAAAACAAAGTGATGATAGACATCTAATGATTAATTCTTTTTAGATCTCATTACGGCTTTATCATTATTATCCATCATCAAAATGGCCAAATGATAATCGGCTTGGTTCGTTTGTAAAAAAAAGCAAACACGCTACACAAACATTGTATCATTATCCGATTATGGTTCATTATTACTCGATTGCTTATCGTCGAAAAGATTATTTCATTTCATTTCGGTTAAAAAAAATAGTTTCATTTTTGTTGTTGTTGTCTTTGCCAATGTGTACAGAAAAAAACAGTATTCGAATTATCAGTATTGAAATGATGAAAAAAAATGAAAAAATGAAACTTAATCAGTGATGTGGTGATGGTATTGGATTTGATTCGATTCAAAAAAAAAAAATAAATAAATTCGTGACCAAGACATTTGAAAAACTACTAAAAAGAATGAATGGCCACATCCCTCTATGGGGCAATTATTATAATTTTTTTTGTTTGAAAAAAATTTGAAAATTTCAAAACAAATTATCAATCTAATCTAATTTGTAGATAATTTTCTGGTAAAACACAACTCACACACAGAGAGAAATGAAATCAAAATTCATTGATCCAGTAAAATAAATATATCGATTGGCGATAATAATAATAATACGTCCATCACATTGCCACATGTGGAAAAAAATTATCAAAAAAATTTTTTGAAAAACAAAAATTCACAAATTTACACTGGCCATATGATCATCATCATTATCGTCATCAAGAGATTGTGTTAAGAAAAAAAAATCGTGCCACAAAATCGAATCGAACCAAACAACGAACATCGAATCAAATCTCAAACTTGTGATCAAATGAAAAAAAGTGGTCAATTATCATCATCATCATCATCATTTTGTTGTCGATTTATCGCCAATAATAATAATTACAACAACAACAATAATGATGATGATCAAGATCAATGATCATAATCAATATGATGTGTGTGTGTCGAGATGGATAATAAGTGATGATAAGTGGTGATGCCGGTAATTTATTATATTACCGGATTATATATTTGTATCAATAATAATAATAATGAAGATAATTGGTGTCTCGCTTTCTCTCTTTCTCTAGAGTCTAGATAAATTGCTCGATAAAATACCCGAAAACCTGTATAGAATGTTTTGCTTGTGGTCACGACATACACGAATTTTTCGCTTTCTTATTTCATATTCTTTTTTTTCATTGGGAGCAATAAATCAAAAATGATGATGATGATGATGAGTCATCATCAAGCAAAAAAAAGCAGAGATACATAAAAGTCAAGTGCAAAATCATCAACAACATAATGGCCGGACAATAATTTTGTTCAAGTCAGACAAAACATTAGGCTTTTTTTCTGGTGATACAGATTTGAAATGTAAAACAGAGAAAACGAAAAGATTTCAACACCTACCTTTGTCGTTGTCGATGCCAATGCCGATGATGATGATCCTGGAGTTAAGTTGCTGTTGTTGGTCAAAATTGTTGTTGTTGCTATTGCTGTTGAAACACTTGTTGTTGGAACACTTGTTGAAACACTATTTGTCAATGTTAATGATGAATGTTGTTGTTGTTGTTGTTGTCGCTGTTTTTTCAAATCAACACTACCATCAGCAATATCAATTTCCATGTCAATATCAATTCCTTCATCATCAATAACTGGATTTTCATTAGAATTATTATCAGTAACAGACACTGGCGAAGTTGTTGATGATAATGATTGTTTATCAGTTTTCATTGATGCAACAATCACTGGAACATGTGCATCAACAACAATCACACCATTCGATGATGCAGATGATGCGGATACAGATGATGTGGAAGATGTTGTAGATTCTGGTGATTTAGGTGATGATGTTTTATTATCGCCATTCAATTCATGATTAATTAGATTGATTGCAGAAAAAATTTGCTCTTTTGGCAATACAGAATCATTGATAGATGATGAAACATTAGCGGAAGCAATGGGTGTTATTGTTGACGAAGCGGCTGCAGCAGCAGCCGCTGCTGCTGCTAGTCCACTTGCAGTCACCAATGCCTGTTGTAATTCATTGGACCAAATTGATTGATTTAATTGATGATACAGTTGTTGATAACGATGATAAAAATATGGTGATATTGAATTCATATCGATTCCATTGATTAAATTAGTTGGATTAGCTGTTACAACAGCAGCAGAAGCCGGATGAGGTGGTGGTGGTGGCGGTATAATTAGTTTCGATGAAGAAAATGGTAATGATGTAGCCGAGGTGTTGGTGGTGGCGGTGGCACTAATCGTATTAGCTGTTGTAGGTGATACCAAGGCATGATGATGATATGCTTGCGCCTGATGATGAAATGGCGATAATGAAACCGAATGTGAATGATTGCCATCCATAATTGATGATGTTCCATTTATGATTGATCCACCTGCCGCTATGGTTGTTATTCCGGTATTATCCTTTGTTGTGGTTGCCATCGTTGTGATACAAGAATTTATAGCAGCCAAAATATCCGATGATAAATTGTCATCTTTTTCGTTTGAAAAATCACTATTTTCAGAACAATTATCATTGCCATTTGATGATTTAAATGGTGTTTGAATTATTATCGAATCATTCGATGATTTCGGGATATCATTTGTATTGATAATTTCTGCTTCTTCATCGTCATTGTCATCATTTGTTTTACATGTCAACGCGGTAGTAGCGACAGTAATTTTACTATTTGCACTTGACGTTGTCGTTGGCAATGATGTGGTCGATGTTGATGTCGATGTTGTAGTGGTCGAGTTACCAAAATGAGAATCTAAAAAAAAGAACAATCAATAAATTAAAAAGTGTAATGGTCATAGAAAAAATTAAAGGAAAAAATCTGATTGATACGTGCTCTTGATCAATCATCACCGATTTAATGCAATTGATCATAATTATCGTGATTGATGCAACATCTACATTCATCTTTTGACTCTTTGTTGCTATGGGAGCCTTCGCCATAATGAAAATGGACAAAATAAACGAATTTTTTTTTAGAAAAATAATTAACATCCTAATTATCATAAACACAGACATCAAAATGGAAAAAATCTTTTTCGTTTCATCTAGCTCAAGTTTTTTTTTCTCATCATTTGAATTATTCATTTGTAAATATTCACTCTCACAAAGAGACACACAAAAGAATACTATTAACAGAATTATCAGTTGAAAAACTAGTAGTTTGATTAATTTGCTTCCGGCTTTTATTACCATCATCGCTGTTATGGGGTATTCAAACAAAAAACAGAAAAAAAATTCCGGCCACGATGCTGTATATTGGCTAATAACACACGAGCAGGTGTATCATTAAGCATTAAGCATTTGATTTGTGAAGAGCGAAAAAAACCGCTTTTTTATCTATCCGCATCAATTAAGCTAGAAATTTTTTTTACTTTTTTTTATTCCTACCAAATCTCATTTCCGTTTAGAGGCATATAATTTTTGTTTTCTAATTCACATTCGTACAATAACAATAAAAAAAAGGGAAAAAAGTGATGCCGGATGATAATTTTGTATGTGTGACAACGTTATGAAAATTCATTGAATGAATGAATGCAAAATGAACACACCAATCATCGATTCATTGATGCGAATAACCTCATGAACACGAAATACACCCAGCAGAATGATAATTCATTACAGTTACAAACTAACTAATTTGTATCTGAACATCATCATCATTTTTTCGGCCAACAAAACAGGTGTTCACCACAATAATTCCAGTAGTTTTTTTCAAAACACAATATCCATCATCATCATAAGCATCTCTTTAATAACACTTTTTCACTCTTCTTGTTGTTATAGGTTGAAAATCATCGAAATAAAAATTGGCCAGAATGTTTCTCTTTCTCTTTGGTTATATCATTCATTTAGTGGTTCCCATTTATTTTTGGTTGTGGTGGAAATATTAAAATACAATGGCATCTTATTGTGTTGTTGTCGATTGGTTGTTTGGATACAACAGAAATTGGGCAAGCAAACATACACACACATACACACACACACACACGCAAAGAAGAAGAAAAAGAAAGAAACCGGCGTCAAGAAATCAAATAAAAAGCGAAAGAGAGAAAAACAGGCCTACTAAACAACAACCAAATAGTTTAGAGTTCAATTGATGATGTTGAAGAAGAATATATAATGATGATATGATATAAAATGCCGGCAAAAAACCCAGACATCAATCGACCAACCAAACCGAACAAAAAAACGGGAAAAAAATTCGGCTAAAATTTTTTCACGGCTGTGTGTTTTTCGGCCAATTCAAATTGTGTGTGTGTGTGTGTGTGTGTGTGTGTTTGTGTGAATAAAGAAGAAGAAGAAGCAATGGAAAATTTGGAAAATCTCGAGGGTGGAGCCATTTTTATATTGGGAGCCTCCTTTTGCATCTTTTTTTTCTCTCATTCATTCACTAACTATTTTGAGACTTTCTAACTAACGAGTCTCTAACACACACACACAAACAAACAAAAAACATAAATGGAGAATCATCATTTTAGCAAAAAAAAAAAGAAAAGAGAAAAATATAGCGCCCAATGTCCAGTGATTTCAATGGGGAAAAAATTAATTTTAAAACAAACAAAAATATTACTTACAAAGATAACGTTTTGCAGCAGCGGTTGACATTATTCATTTAGATTTTCAACTTTTTTTTTTGATTAATCGATCGATTCGTTTGATGTATGTAAAATATATGGAAGAAAAAACATTACGGAAATTAAACTTAAATCGTTGGTGTTGTGGTCGTTTTTGTGAAACACATGGTCATTTAATCATCAACAACATCACTTTGTGTATCATTGAAAGTCGGCAGTATACTAAAAAAAACGATGACAAAGTAGCAGAAAATCAATTTTCAATGATTATTAATACTACTTTTTTGATTCATTTACCCTCATCATTATCATCGTCAACATCATTGGATTTTTATGCGTAGGAATAAAACGAACAAAGTGGTCGATGTAAAGATAGAAATAAAAAAAATTTACCGGAAAATAGATAATGAATTGCCACAAAGTATAAACATTTATGTGAATGAATAAATTCTTCGCCGACAACAACAACAACAACCACCACCTACAAGAATCAAGAAAAGTTAAAAACTGAAATTGAAACCCAAAACCGGGTTTTTGTTTTTTTTTCGAATACGCCAACACACAACCACGGTTGTTTGACGAAAACACTTTGTCTGTTTTTGCGAGTATGTAATAATCAATTTAATCTTTTGCTAAATTAATGAATGATGACGATGATGATGATGATGAATAAGTGCGCGCACCCAGTGTTTATAATATCCACACACACACACACACCCATCAAAACCACTAAAACATTATCGCGAATAGTGTGGGTGTGTTGAATGCCACAATGGTGATGCTACTTGATGAATGAATTCGTAATTGAAAAAAATTAATCAAGAAAAAAAAACGCACCACTAGAGATGTGATGAATATTGATGATGATGACCCATGTCACACCCTAGTAAATGAAAAAAAATGTGGATGCGGATGTGTGAATTAAATGGAAATTTTTTTCAGTGACAAATATTCATTGCAGGTGAAAGCAGAAAAAAAAATAATACCGTCGATGGAAATTCAAATGTTTTTTTCCTGGAATTCATTGTCATTTATTTTGTGTCATTTTGAAAATGGATTTCTTAATTAGATAATGTTTTTCGTTGTGTCTATTTCTACACAAAAAGATTAAGAAATGTAGAAATTGATTTCATTTCATCTGGGAAATGTTGTTTTTGTTGGATGAAGAAAAAAATTTTTTTTGTTTTCACAAGATTTTTTTTCCTGTCGTTTCGTGAAAATGCATTTTTCGGTGGAAGAATTCCTATGGATGATGGTGATTGCGGTGATCATGGTTTTTGATTCTTCAGACTAGATTTGTTTGGTGGTAATGTTGTTTGATCGGTCGGTCGGTAATTAGCTGGCTCGGTTTTAGTTGTGAAATGCAACAATCACAACAACGACAACATTTCCCTGATGGATCAAGAAGTTGTTTTCTATGTCATCATGTGTTCATTATGTTCAACTCTTTGTGATGACACACAAATTGGTTAATGGATAATGGTGATGATGGTGGTGGTGGGTTGTAGAAAAAGAATCAAAATCAAAATAAATGATGGCATTTTGGATGTGTTAGCAGAGTTAGGTGGTTTTTCACAGAATTTCAAACAAAAAAAAAACAACTTCTGGTGGATTACTGCAAATGTTGTTGCTGATGAGAATGACTAGACGAACAAAAAAAAAAATTTTTCCGCCAAAAAAATTGCACACAAAACAAACATACAGACACACAACAACCAAAAACAGAATCGGAAAAATTTTCAAATCAAATCAAATCAATCAATTCGTAAAATTTTTTAAGAAAAAACTACCCATACGATACGGATGCAAGAAAATCAAACTAAAAATCACCAACTGCTTTTTGTTTCGTACGAACATTACGAGAATGAATCAATGAATGAATGTGAAACACACAAAAAAAAGAGAATCATCACGAAAAGCGACGACGACTTATGCAACCACACAAGACAATAAACATCATCGTTGTAACACTCGTATGAACCACTAGCAATTGGGAAAATGATTGCTAGTAGCATAGCATAACTAAAAGCTATGGAATGGATTTGAAAAAAACCAGTTTTTTGCGCGCGTAATTGCAGTAGCTCTCACCATTCACAATACTTTTTTCTTTTATCAACTACTGGAACAGGGGGTAAGAATGAACAAAAAAAAATGTTTGATAGAAAAGGTGGAGCTTTACCCGGCTGCGCTATTCTTTGCCGACAACGCGATGGACACACAGTCGCAAAACAGAATTCAAAAAAAAAAATCAGAACCGGCAAACTTTTGCTGCTGCTGCTGCTGCTGCTTTTGGTTGCAGCATCATTTTATCTAGGGACGCATGAACAATAAGATGGCTTCTTTCTGGTTTTATTTTTCGGGTACAAATATTTTTTCCGGACTTTTTTATCATCATTACATAGACGACCGACCGATCCGGTAGTCCGGTAAATGAATTTTTTTTATACGGTATTATTCTGATTCGGTTCCATGATGAATCGTGTGTGTTTGTGTGTGAACCACTACCACTGCTTACTACTTTGGAGAATGAGAATAAAATTGCAGCAACCAACCACCACTAATACAACAATACACAATGCCACTGCCAAAGGGACCTTGTGGATTCTTTTCATCTCTAATTTTGGGCGCCATTTGGAAATTCTGTAAACACAGAAAGAAACTATGTTGCACATACATACACACACACACACACAGGATCATTGAATTTTTATACAGAATATCAAGAGAATCGTCCAGTTCGACCGAAACGGTCGTACAGATCAGTCGATAGGATTCAGTACATTCGTTTATTTCGTTAATTTCATCATTTCAGTTCAGTTCAACTAAACAACTACTAAGGAAAATCTATTGAGAATTTCGTTTCTTATTTTCATTTCATTTCATTTCTTCGAATCTTTCTTCGTCTTTTTTTTTTTTCTTAAGGATCTTTACTGTGATCACTAAATCGTTCAAATGTAATATAATGGGCGGAGATTGATTCATTGATTTTGATCAGATCAAGAGACCAGAATAAAGGCGGCCCTTATTATATAATACGTATTATCATTGCTCATGGACAAAGCGAGTGTCTGGATTTGTATGTATGTAATAGCAATGAATGAAATGGGAAAATTTTCAAAATTTAAGAAAGAATTAATGAAACTCAATATTCCAGAATTTTCATTTCCGATTCTTGTTCAACGAAAGAGAAAACAAAAAACAAGGTCCCATTTTGTTGAAAAAATTATTTTCAAATTCCTTTTGTTTATTTCAAATGAACCATATTTTTTTAAACACTAAAAACCGGATATGAAATGAAAAAATGAAATAAACAAATAGGAAATAGACACAAACATTCCAATACCAAATTACCTTGTGTGTCAATCATGTCAATCAAACAAAACATTTTCAAATTCAAATTGAATTTTTTCATTTTGGGAAAAGGGAAATTTAATTTGAAAAAAAGAATTTTTTTTCTGGATAAAAAAAAACATAAACATTTCACCCGAATAATAAACGAAACGAGAGATTAATTCCGAATTGATGGAATTGAAATTAAAAATAAAAAGAAAATGAATTTCAATTCAAAAACATGTGAAACGTTCTTATCGAATGCCAATATTTGCATTTGAATCATCATGTCCATCACATTCATTCATTGAATATATTTACACAGGAATATTACGTATGTACGTGCAAAAAAAACGATCCAAATTCTGTTCCCTACCTCATGCACACAAAAAGACAATCAGGATATCCGTCACATGTTGTTCTGTAACCCGGAGAGAAAGAGAAAATTGGTGGAATCGTTTTTTTTGCTCAATTTCATTTTGTCGACATTTTGAAATATTATTAAACATACAAAAATAATTGTTTTCAACCCTTTCCAAGATGTGTTCATCTTTATTTTACGCATATAAATGACAGATTTGAATTTAGAAAATAATCTTTCATGCACAGAAAAAAAATATTACAATGAAACAAATCAATCGATTCTTCAAGATAGTTATGCGATGTTAACACACGATAATAAGGAGAATAACGAGAATGTTTTTTTGTCTCATGTATGTTTTTTTTTTTTTTTGGTACACACAATTTGCCATCGTCATATTTGATCATTGCTTATTGATCTTGCATATGAAATTTTTTTTTTTGCCTCGTTTGTAAGAGAAAGAAAGAAAAAAATTGCGATAAGCTCAAGGCTCCGGCCAATCGGAAATACACATACAGACATTTTGGTTAGACAACCATTCAATTCATTCGACATACAACCGTGAGATTTTGATCTCGACAAATTTTTTTTGTGGTTTGGTTTGGTTGTAACCCCGAAAGAAATATGATTAATGTTTGGTAATCAATTTTCTCTCTCTCTCTCTCTCTCTCAGGGTTTTTCTCTCATATTTCAATTGATCTCATCGTGAATTGTTCAATTTTTTCTCGTCCGTTATATTATACCGAAAACTAACTAACTGGTGTTATTCTTGTTTCTGGTTTTACAGCCCTATCAAATCAAAATTGGTATTGTTTTGGTTTGGTTGTAACATTGTGTTTTCTGCTTGTTTCTAATTTGATGTCAAAATTTCGATCATCATCATCGAAATATTACTAGGAAAAAATTTCGAAAAAAAATATTCAAAACACAAAAACCAGAAACAATTCTGCCAATCTGTCTGGCTGGCTGTAGCCATTTATCTTTGAATTCAACATTCACGAGAAACGCACACCCTGATCACCACACAGAAGGGAAAAAATTGTCTTGATTTATTCGGAGTTTTTTTCAGATGGTTTTGTTTCACATTCTCTCCAGAGAGAAAAAGAGATATCTCGATTTATAGAATTTAGATCAATCAAGAAAAAAAATGATCAATGGCCAGCAATTGGACATTAGATTACTATAATTGGTTAGTTGGTCAACATCACCAACAACAACAGAAAGAAAAAACCAAAAATCCACTTTTATGATCAGATGTGATTCTTGATTACACCCACAACACCCACTAGACATCAATTATGAAATTGAATTAAAAAAAAGATTCAACCATACAATAGAACACAAATTCCAACATGTTACCTAGGTTTCGCTGCATTTCCATTGTATTGTATGTTTGTTGTTAGTTAAAAAATTAATTTTAGGAATGATTTAAAATTAAATTTTCCTAGTTCTTTTGAAATGAAAAAAAACCCAATATGGTACTTGTGTTTTTTGTCGATCCAATTTCATGATAAATCACCAAACGACAATGTTTTGTGTCTGTTGGTGGGGGGAATAGATAATAACCAGGGTAATTTCAACAGCAGCAACAAAAAAACAGAAAAAAACAAGATGTAAAAGTAAGTACAACGAGGAATTTTTAAATTCCAATTTAATTGAATTATAGAAAAAAAACATTGGAGAAAATTGGAAATAATGGAATGTTTTTTATTTTCTTTTGAATTTTTCATCTTTTAAAAGAATTGGAATTAAAACAATTACAATGTAAACAACAACAACAAGAAATGGAATTTATCAACAAAATCTTTTTTGATAAATTAATCAAATTAGATAATGACGATGATGATAAAAAATCGAGAGAATCGTACAGAAAAAAAATAGAGAAGTTCATTAGTGTTTTCAAAGTGGGTGTGTGCAAAATGAGAAATCTTTTCATTCATCGATTTTTTCCAAACTTTTCTCTCAAACATTGTTTGATTAGCCCTTAGTTCTTTTTGGAATCTTTGTATCTGTTTTTTTTCTATTTATTCAAATCAGCTATAGATAAACGACAGTGAAATGATTTTAGCCACCACCAGAACAAAACAAGAAAAAAGACCAATGGTCAGAGATTAACCAAGAGAATAAAAAAAAAGAGAAGCAGCAACCAACAAATTCATTGTCCCAAGAGAAACATATGAACAAGTGCATACCAATGTATGGGGGATGTATGATGTATAAATGGTCTGATAAAATTTTTGGCCAAATGCAAATGAAATAACAAAATGAATTGAATAGAGTGTGGGCAAGGGGATCAAAGAAAAAGTCAAAGTATTCCAAAGAATTTCAAGCAATAATAATAATAGAGTAGCATAGAGAATATAAGCATCCCTGTACTTTATCCAAATGAATGTACTGTGCAAACCAATCATCATCGTCATCAGATAATATAATCAATCTAATGGATTGGGGCGCCTATTGGATTGCTGCACAAGCAACAACATTGAGCCGGCCGACCATCCATCTGATGATGATTGTGTATGGAAATAATTGATGAAAAAAAACTTTTTTCTTCTTATTTATCATCATATTTCTCCATGTGATGATGATTCAAATGATTCATGCAAGGTTCTATTTCGATCCAAATCGTGTGTGTGTGTGTGTGTGTGTGTGTGCGAGTGTTTGGTGTGTGTACAAATATAGCCTACAGCTAAATAATGATGATGATGATCCAATACGCAAATGAATTTTTCTTTCGATTGAAAGTTATCATCATCTTTAACTTTTTTCTTGCTTTACTTATATTCATTTTATTCGAAAATGGATCGATTTTAGATCATCATGAAACTCATGAACGAATGAATATTCTCGTCAATCATCCCAAATTTATCAAAGTTCATGAAAAAGAACGAAAATTAAAATTAGTACTAGACCCAAATGGATCATCAAATTGAAACTTTCCATGGAATGGTCATCAATAATTTCCATTCAACAACCGAAAAAAAAGTCAAAAGTCAAACGAATCGAAATTGGAAACAAAACCCCAAACACTAAATCTCGTGAGATCTAGATTAATCAATCAATCGGATCGGAACATATTCATTTATTTATGTCCAAACAACAACAACAAATATTATGGGCAATCAAATAAAAAAAACGGAATAAAAAGAAATTAAGAAAATGAATAAGAAAAATGAATATATGTCTAATAATAAAA